TGTTCAGTTGCCGACTGAGGTTAAACCACTCTCATCTCTTCAGAAATGCAGGTTGCCTCAGCCCATGATACACCATCTGCTGTGAACAGTGACATCTTTGCATCTGCCAGGATCTTACCTGCGTCACAAGCTCGGGCCAGCCCAATGACCAGACAGTGCTGGACTACCACAGCATATGTCAGGAGATTCAGGGCTCCCAGGCACATTTTTAGAGGTCTCCTGCCATCCTCAGAACAACACAAACCTTTCCTGCAGGGCTTTCAGGTGTATGTAATCCTCAAACATCCTTCTGAACCACACAGTCCCTTCCACATAGATGGGGCCATTAGCTGGTGCAGAAAAGTGATACGAAGTCTTGTACCAGCACAGAGATTAAAATTACAGAAGCAGGGACAACAGCTCCTCCTTCAGATGACATCTCTGCTAAATTAACTGCAATCACACACTTCACTAGATAGAAAGCAGGGATGTTACAAGCCTCTTCGCTCTCAATCTTATTACTTGACAGATTTTCCTCCAGTTATGCCAACCAGATGAGAGCACTGTACCCTTCCAGAGCATTTTACCATACCCCATTTCCTCCAAAACAAACCAACAATTAAAGTCACAGTCTCTAAGAGCACAAGACAGTTTGTTCCTGCTTTAGTGCTCTGTGACACACAGTTAAGAGAAAAACACTTGAGTAAAAAGTCATTGGGGCTTCCCAATCATGTTACCCCAACCCAAACAAAAACCCAAAGCCCACCATGACTCCAGACTTCATTTGAAAGTTCACAGTACCACAACCTACACACAGTCTACAACACCTATTAACCTGAGGTTTGGCATCGTTTTCTCCCAAAGCTCACAATATTTTTTATTCCACTTGAGGCCCCTACGTCCTGCAGTCAAGTGAAATACTGAGATTCAAGCATTCCTGGCACCTTATACAGACATGCAGAAATCTCCAAGACAGTCAGAAATCAGCATGAGAAAGCAAATTAAGAACATCGTTTTCAAAAAAGAAAAACCACTTACGTCATCCCATGGCACTTTTTTTTTTGTTTTGTTTTTAATGTCTGGCTGACTGTTTTTAAAAGCTTAGGGCTGGCAAGCCTTTTGAACATATGGCCTGAGAAGAGCACACTGTGCTCCTTGCCACAGCAGAAGCACGCAAGGAATTCTTAGTGAATCCATCCCAGTGCTCCTTGCACAGCTGCAGAGGTCAGGTTTGCTTAGCAAAACGTACAATGAGGTTCATGCATAGGGAAATCCTTCTCAGCATCAGCCAAGAAATTAAAGCTTTAGGATGCAGGATGGAGGAAAGAGAACACCTAGAAAAATATTAAGAGGGGTAATCAGAACATCAGCAGCATCTCCCTTTCAAGCTACTGAGCTATCCATACCTCAAAGGATACACAGTGGCAAAGGACAGAAGCCTTACCAATTGTTGCAATTCTGCTCTTTTGATGTGACAACAAAATGGATCATTCAAGATTCAGACATTCAAAGTAAACCAAGTATTTCCACCTCAGACTTTATATGGACAGCAAGCAAAGGCATCTGGCAGGAACAGGGAAGACACTGAGCCACTCAGTGGAAGATGACACATTTGCTACAGCTGAAGTTTCTTGTCACTGTCTTTAAATCCAAGATGAGCTCCTGCAAGCAGGCAAGGAGAGGTGGGAGGATTCGGTCCCCAGAGCAACCTTATCGAATCAAAAAGATTTAGACAGTGAATAACATGTGGGCTATATTATGGAAACCAAACCTAGTTTATTCTACATAAGGATCAATATCTGCAAAGCTCTCGACCATGAAGAACATTGTGCATGGAGCTGTGCCCATATGATTTATGTTACTGCCAATTGTCCTCATCCCATTAGTTTATTCTCTGAAGCTGCCTGGTAAGGTCACGAGTAAGGTCTAACAGTAGACCCCCAGCACTGTCTGTGTGCTGCTAAAGACAGCCCCACACGAAGTCCTACTTTGCAGTACAATCTTCAGATCAATAAATGGTAGGGCTTTGATTCATTAGATGCATCAAATTGGAGTGGGGGGAGAAATTTTCTTATTTGACGGTGACAAAACAGCCAAGCAGACTTTCCAATTGGACAGTTTAAACTACCCAGCTTAGCTTGCCACAGCAGAGAGACCAAGAGAAGACTGATGCTCTGGAGAACAAGAACAACATTGTTTGCCCAGCATGGTAGCTTCAGAGAGATTTTATACCATCTTACAAAGGATCCTAAGATTTTAAGCCTCACGTCTCACATCAGTCTCTGTGCAGGAGGATGCCCTGGCAAAGAGAGGATTCTTCCACTCCAGCCCATTGCAGTTTCTCAGAACTTCCTCTGGACCACCTGAATTGGCCAGTGAAAGGACAGACTAGACTGATTATCTGTTTGATCCAGAAAAGCAACTTCATAGCTCTCAGGAGATGTATATATACATTCATCTATATATACCTGTTTATATGATCCTCAGAAATAAATATAGCAGTAGAACATGAAAAATAAGATGCAGTTCCCCCTGAACCACAGTAAGGCAAGGCTAGAAGTTACTGGTTTTCTGAGAGCCCCTTGATGCACAACAGCCATCATCTCCATCAGAATAAGCAAGGACTCAACAGGTCACGTCTAAACAAGCAAGCTGTGTTTGGATTATCCTGCCTCCTCAGGATATTCCTGAGCACGGCCATCTCCCTGTGTCCGGTGCTGGCGATGGCTGGCCTCTTTTCAGGAAGTCCTACAGGAAGGACCTGAGGTTCAACACACAAGTTCACTGAAGTGCACCCCATGTGCATGGGATGTTAAAGACACTGCAGTCTTAGGAGAGGGAAAGCTCCGGTGTTTTCTCCTTCCAAAGAGAAGGAGAAGTGGCACTAAATGCAGCTGCCATAGGGACCCACAGAATCTTTACTGTGCAGTGTCATCTGCACCTGGATCATGGCATGAAAGAACATTCCCTGAACAGAGGATGCTGAAAAAAAATGAGAAAATAAAAGACCTCCATTTGGGTCCAGCATGCAAGGCAAAAGCCCCTGGACCTCATCTCAAAGGAGCCTGCAGACTTCAGAGCAACAGAGGAGGGGAGAAGGCAGAAGGGACATCAGCTCCCCAGCCTGGACGCCACCAGGGCAGCGCTCCCCATCCCACGGCCATGGCCACAGCTACACCTCAGGAGCAGAGCGTGGTAGAGAAGGTAGCTTTGCACAGGAACATGGATCCCCCATACCCGTCCTTCGCCGGCAAGGGACGACCAACAGCTGGGGATGAGGCAGGTATGCCAAGGCAGGTATGCCACTCTGGACAGGCGAGGACCCCCACAGCACACAGAGCCCCCCCAGCCCTCCACTCTCATCTCCCCACAGCCGCAGGGGAGGGACAGGGGAGGCCGACGAGGTGAGGGCAAAGGCTCCACCGGGGCCCTTTGCTGGGGCAGCCGCTCCCCAACAC